ACCTGCACATCAAGGGAGAAATAATGAAGAGATATGTAAATGATTTCAAAGAAAACCAAGTCATAGAATTAAGATAAAGCTCCACGTGGACACTTTTAAATAACATTTATGTCACAAAGTGTAGGTGGATGAAGCCTCCTTTGATTCACTGTTACAGGACTTTAGTTTTAGGCCATCAAACGTGAAGAAGCACATCATTCCAATTACAATAGGTGGTTGATTAACTTTTCACTAAATGCTTCTGTTTCCTTCCATAGTTCAAACACCCAGTCTCTTGTGACCAACAGTTATCTGCTGCACAGTCTTTTTGATTTATAAAATGGTCACTGTAGAGAGGTCTGCAATGTGCTCAAGCAAGCAAACTAAGAAAATCTACAGGGCCTGATGAACTTGAGTCAAACTTAGTATATTTTGCTGTAGAGTTTATTGTACCACCTGTAACTCATCTTTTGAATGTGCTTTTTAAAAAATTTCAGACAACATTCCTTATGTTTGAAACTCTGCCACCTAAGATGTAGTGATCATACCTGGCTAAATAATTTCAGCCTCATCTCTAAATCAACAGTCCTGACACGACAATAAAGGTTTAAAAATACTAATAATGTTGTATCTGAACACAAATCTAGAGTAAGAAAACTCAGTGATATTTCTCGCTGGTTGCGGGACAACATTGTGCAGCTTAATTCAGCGATCTTTTTACAGCCTTTGATACAATAATCGTGTAATTATGAAGTGCACAGTAATTAGTATGAGGCTGTCAAAACTGCTGTGTCCTGATGTGTCAGACAGATGTGCACAAGCCGACAGCCTAACTTCTGCTTACACCAAATGATGTGAAGTTATGATCACTCCTCGGACCACTGTTACTCAGTTTTTACATAAATTCTCTTTGGTTGTTTACGTGATGCAAATGTGATGTCACTTATTTACTGCAAAGCAGAGCCTTTCCCAACTCACTTTTGATAATGTCCACACATCTTAGCTCTGTCGTGCGAATTTCTTTGAAAATTCGTCTTGAATGTTGATGAAACTAAAGCTATGCTGTGGTCGAATTCTAAGAAGAAAAACTCTTGGTTGTTTTTTGAATTCTCAGGTACAAATCAAGAAATTTTCATCCATCCATCATCTATACATCGCTTAATCCTCACTAGGGTTGCTGGAGTCTATCCCAGCCGACTTAGGGTGAAGGCAGGGGACACCCTGGACAGGTCACCAGTCTATCACAGGGCTACACTTAGAGACAGACAACCAAGCACACTCACATTCACACCTACGGACAATTTAGAATCACCAATTAACCTCAACATGTTTTTGGACCTTATGGGAGGAAGCCGGAGAACCCAGAGAGAACCCACGCTGCACGGGTAGAACATGCAAACTCCACGCACAAAGATCCCGGTGCCCCCCCCGGGACGCGAACCGGCAACCTTCTTGCTGCGAGGCAACAGTGCTAACCAACTGCGCCACCTTGCAGCCAAGACAAATCTACTGAGCATATTTTGTCTTATAGATTCATAAAGATTTTATCCGTGATGAGTCTTTGTCTTTTAAGCTTCATATTCCGTAACTTGTGGAAAAACTGATGATAAAACATGACTTGTTTCTTGTTGCAGCTACTTTGCTTCTTTTGCTCAGGGATATACTGTAAATGTCCTTATCTATACCTACAGTCTTTGGAAACAATCTGTCGTGAAGCGCTAAGATCCATTACAAATAGTGCAGCTCTCTCAAACAAAGTCGTTCCTCTTTGTACGCTTGGGTCGGCCGTTTCTTTTTAACCTCCAGCAGATTAAAGCTGTAAATTATATTAATCTATGAAGCTGTTTTTCTTTTACAGCCAACCTATACTATGTATGTAAGTACATGGAACAAAAGTTAAATTACTTCAATTTTTAAGGATGACACAGATGCTAATGGATTTGTGTTTTTAAAAATAAAACGAATGTCAAAAAATGAATAAAAATTCTTTTCATATCAGCAGTGTGCTCTATCAGTCACACTATTCAGACTGTTAGAGGAGAAACTTGCTGGTGTACAATTTTGTATTTTGATGAAATTTATATTAATATTTGTTTCAAATGTCAAAACTGGTGATTTTTGATGCTGCAGTTTGAAGAAAACATTCCACTGTTTGTGTGTGTTCAAACACTACCATCTTTTCCTTCCTTACTAATATAATTTTATCATTCTTTGGCACTTTGTTGTTGTGATTACTAAGATGTTGTGTAATTTTGCTGTTTGTGTGACTGATGCATCCGACTCTTGGGCTTCTTTGTGACTCCACTGACCGCCTTCTGTTGCCGAGAAAATCCACTCTTCCTTGCCCAACTTCTGTTAAAAAAGACAAATGCTGGCAATTACTCTTCTACTTTCTACGAGTTAGAGGTGTATCTGCCTTTGTAGGTGAGATTTATGATAAGCGCTTACTACCTGGATTGCTGGTTTATCTGTTGCAAACACTGCAAAATTCTGCGAGCTGGGAAGGAGAATTTATTTATTTATTCTTGTTAAATGTGAGGATGTAATGACAAATACAGGAAACAGAAATAAACAAAGAACTGTGCACCAGCAATTTGACTAAAGGGCAAATAATAGTTTACATTCAGCACAAATTACAGCTTTAAAAATGACTACACGTAATTACATTTGTAGCTTTGATCTGTTGTAGGTCTGCTGTAGCATTTATCCATTTTGTCTTGCCCTGACAATCACATCATTAAACCTCACAGGTTTTGGTTGTGTGGGGAAAGTATGTGAGCCTGTTTTAGGAGTGAGCAGAGGCAAGCTTCATCCACCTCATCACATCCAGCTTTCACTGCATCACTTTGGATGAAAGGATCCACCACACAGACAATCATAAACCATTACTCCCTAAATGTAACATCCTCTGATCCTGTGCGAGTGGATAGGCTGCTACTGCAGTAGGCGCCACTGTCATGGTTGACTGCTGTCTTGGAAGAAGGGACTATTTTGGCAGGATAATGCGGTCACGCCACTGAGTGAATAAGGGGTCTTGAGAGAAGAGGGCAGAGATAAGAGAATGGAGAACATTCCATTAAAGCTGGCGATGGTATCAAGCCGAGGCTCAGGGAAGACTATTCTGCACCGAAACCCTCCGCAGCACCCATCGAGTGCAAGGTGCATCTGTTACCATGGTACCCGGCGCAGGCAGCCCCTTTCATGTCTGTCAAGACGGGGAGGGAGAGAGACGAGCAATATGTTAGTCTCGCCTGCAGTTGGAGCTGAAACGGCCATGCAATTGCCTATGTGTGTGTGTGTGTGTTCACTCCGAGCTGCATGTATGTGTTCCCAGCACACATCCAGGCAGTCGGGGTTTAAGATGCTGTACGCTGACAGAGGCTCGTCACACAACATGAATCATTTAGTCACCACAGCAGAGCTGGAAATGTCACGTCTCATCAGTGTTCCTCATGCCTCAGTGCCCCTGCACCATTTACATCTCTGGCAACAGAGTTAAAAGTAGGACTTGATTAAAGAGAGAAGCTGAGATTTTAAATGCAAACAAACATTTATTGCATTGGGAAGCAGTGGTGTACATATTCCCCACAAAATCATTTGCAGTACTGTAGCACTTAATGAGATCATAGTCTGTTGTGCAGTTGTCCGAGCAGAGCGTCTCCACTCTCCTTAAAACAAATCAGAGCAAAGTGTGCATTTCAGATTCTTGATGGGTTTATTTGCTCATCATTCTTCCCATTTCTGTCTCCTTCCATATCTGATCTTTCCAAGGAATGGGATGCTACTTCCTCACAGTGGAAAATGCTGACTTGACCTTCCTTGGCAGCCAGTTAGGCAATCCAGTAACAACAGGAGAAACTGTACAAGGAACATGTCCAAAAGTAAGCCAAGCTATCTGCTATTGTCTTTATCTTTCTGATACAAAACTATATTTTTGTGTTTTTGCTACAGTTTTTAAAACAGTTTAAAAAACAAAAAGCAACACAGTACATCATTCCTTATTGTAAACCACAATCAACACTAACAGTAAATAGTACTTTGTCATAATCTTTATTACAAGATATTAGGCCACTGTACAAATCAGTGTGAATCGTACAGTACAACGCAGAATTAAGACTGTTTCTCGAGGTTTGTCATTCAAAGCTGTATACGAGGTGCTTCAAGAATACACAAGAGTTTCAGAATTTCTGCCATGCATGCATGATTTCATATTTGCCATGCATGAGTTGGTATTTCAGTGTTTTAAGAAAGAGCCCTAAAAAATGGCAACCCAATAAAACGACTGAACTGAATGAGTAAATGTATAAAGCACAAAAAAGAACAAGTAGTCCGGTACAGTATATCCCTCATGAGATTTGGCACACACAATAATGCACAATGCAATATAAATAGTTTTATCAATAGGGTGTGTACAGTCAAGTTACAGTATCAACCAATCCAGGTGAAAGCCTGGGAAGCTTAAAAACAGGTGGGAGGTACACTGTATATAAATGACTCGTTAGCTGCAAAGTATGGTAACAAAAAACACTCAGGCAACATCGAGAATTGTTAAGTGAACAAAAATATCACTCTCATTTGCTCAAAGTTTTCTCAACATACAAAAAAAAAAAAAAAAAACACTCCCGCTGGCCTTAAGTCACTGCAAAAGACATATTCCAAAGGATCAATAATAAATAAAGTCTTCAACACAGAACAAAGCAGTTCACCAATTCCCACTTTGTGCAAGAAAATATGGGCTACCCTTTCCATATTTACAAACTCTGGTATTCATTTGCCCTCGATCAAAATGAAGAGCAGAAAGAATGGTTGATAAGATTGATAAGATATAGGAGAAGTGTGTGCTTTAGTTTTTATATTAGATTTACTTCTGTATCCTGTCCCTGATTTCTGCATTTCGACAGCGTCGCCTTCGTCGCCCCCCCTTGTTGTCTTCTCCCATGTTTGGATTTATGGCGAAACCCTGTAATCGAGGGTGTGTATGTTTGTGCGTGTGTGGCTTTGAGTGCGTGCGTGCGTGTGTATGTGTGTGTGTGTGTGTGTGTTGGGGGGGTCCACCTGGGGGTCTCCTTTGCTGCCATCTCCCACCCCTGCCAGTGTGTGTCATCCGGACGGTCATGACTGACTGGGAGAGGAGGGTGTGGAAGTGCTGCTTGCTGCCACATGAGAGAAAGTGCTTATATACAGTGTCTTTGGATTAAAACTGGTAAATATCGCCATAAAAAATTTCAAGAGTGTCTTTTGGGGGGTGGAGAGCCGAGCGCTCTAAGCCTCTGCCGGGGTCTTCTCTGTTCCATTTTTCTGCTCGTCGTCGCCATTCTCATCCTCGATCACAACTGTGGATGACAGGGGGAGAGAGTTAATGAGGGGGGCTCATCTTGGTGTGGCGTCTTGAAAATTCACCATCGACTGACAGGAGGGCATTAAAGCCCACAACCATCAGGGCTGTGTTGTATGAGCACAAGTGATGTGTGTATACATGAGACAGTGAGCACATGCAAAAAGACAAAGATAACCACGAGTGTGACTGTGCTTCTGATGCACATTTTGGGAATGTGCATTGTGAATATCTGCGTGTCTTTGCTGTGCACCTACAGGTGCAGCACTTACACGTCTGCCTATTTGCCATGTTGGTCCATGTTGTGTCTGTGCACTACTGTACATGCAACTGTGTCTGTCTGTGCATGTATGTGCTACCAGAAGTGTGCCTCAAATTTCAAGGACTATCTCATGGGTTTTATTAGGAATGCATGACACACAATAGAAAACACACAACCAAGCTGGATTCATCGTGCAAACACAAAAATCTGAATTTCACAGCATTTAAACCTCAATCATACCATCCATTCACGGGGAGGGAACATTCAGCACAACTCTGTTGAGCATCGTTCAGAAAGCATTTAACAGCACGCACTGCGCATCCAAGTTGTGTTGCAATGCGAATAGAATATTTAAAAACCAAGACATTACACAGGCATGCAAACAAAAGACTTTTCCTCTCTGATCTTTTACTCTAACGAAGATCGTGCCAAAGCACCTGTGTTGCCGATCTGGCTTCACAGGGAAATATTCTCTATTCTGGTGCACTACTAACCTATGTGCGCATTCATCACAATCACCATACAGGCGAAAACGCCTTAATTATATAATTACCCCGTTTGCTCCTGCCTATTTGTCCGAGTTTCGGCGGACGTTTATTCTGTGAGCCACTGAAGAAGTTGTTGGTGTCTTGAAGACGACAGGTGAAGGAAAGGTGTCCCTCGTCGCCCTCATTTCCATAATGACTCATTTTTTCTTCGTTGAAAGGCAGCACTTCCGACATCTCCAAATGCGTCTTTATCACCAAGGCGCACAAACTGAAATGTATAGCTCGTCGCCAAGCTTAAACCCGGTCGTCTGTAACAAACAAAAGGGGGAAAAAACTGTGCAATCTGCTGGCACGACCTAGCCCTTTCTGTTTACCCCGAAGACACGTGTCTGTCTTCGTAGGTACGCAAGAGAAATAAGAGTAAATCAAAATGTCCTCAGTTTCCTCGCTCGTTGAGCTTCGGCAACATTATTCAAGAATTCCAGAGGTTTTTGTCTCTGTGCGTATTGCTTTGGAAATGGAGGCGCACGTACAATAGAGCCGTGAAGCGCCCGCTGGTTTCGAGCGGCTGAACCCGTCGCACGGAAAATCTGAGGAAGAAATGCAAATTGAGGAGCGATGCAAAACACGGATCCCGGGGAGACCTGGCGAGGGAGCTGTACGGGGGTTTTCTGGTGCAGCCCAGAGACGCGTCCAGTTGGAGTCGTGGCGTACCAACGCTCCACTCTCCGGGATCTAGATGCAATCAAACAAATGGCGATTTCAAATTCGAAGATCGGTGCGTAAATGCGAGCCAATTCAAGATCTTTGAAACGCGTCGTTTTCGCGCCACCACTCGACGAGTCAGAGATATGAAATATGAAATCTTCAAGCCTCTAGTACAATTTTCTTACACATTTTGCGATGCTTTTTGCCCTGTTGGGGGGTTTTTGACTGAGGAATATCCACCAAGTCTGAGCTCACCAGAGGATGGCAGCATTTTCATAGGCTGATATGTTGACTTTTGGCCCCATGGCGCACTTTCACTTCCATGCTGAGGCCCTGAGCTGTTTTCACATGATTTCATTACAGTTTCTGGAGGGCTGCACACCAAAGCAGATGGGTAGAGTGAATGGATATGTGAGTAAATGTGTTTTAGATGGCAGTCCATGTTCCAGGGTTGATGAGGTTCCAGGTTTTTCTCATCAATTAGATTGCAAATTTAGCTAAATATCAAAATGAGCCTTACAAAATATGACAATAGCACACACAAAAAAGAGACTATACATTTGACCTCACTCAGGATACTGATATGTATTGATAATGTTTCATAATAGACATAATGTCATCATAATAAGATCAAGTTTGGGAAGATTTTGGTTTGATGATAGCACAGAATGGGCAGTTTTGATATCATAGGGTGGCATGAAAACTGGCTTGTTTAAACTCATCCTTTGGGGATACGGAGGAAACAATGCCTGTGGGTTTACCACCCACTGCTGCCAACTGTTTACATTAATCTGTCTTCTGTAGGAACAGCACAAAGGATTGTCTTACAAAACAGATTTGAGCATTGTGTAACAGACAGGTATTCAATCTTAACACTGACTTTTCCAAGAGGAACTTAACCATATATCTTTACACAGACAAGGAAATGAAAGATGATATCCGAGCCTGCAGCAGAGCTAACTTTAATGTGCCGTCAACTATTCATAGCGGAGGTGCTGTCATGGCACACCAAGGCCTGCTCCCTTTGGACTTGCGGTGGCTGTGATTTTATCGCAAGATCCACCTTTCAAATCAGATCATCTCAACAACAGCTTTTTCAGTTTGCAAATATTTTTCGACAATATCTAATTATTCTATCAGCTAAATTGGTCATTTCCAGCTCCCAGACAATTACGATAAATAGTAATTGGTAACTTTTGTCCAGCAGCCACAGTCACAAGTTGTATAATGTTGTTGGATCTTGGATAATGTTCAAAGCTAAACATTAGACAACAATAGCACGAATAGAGAACCGTCACAAAAGCTACTAACTGAAAAAGTCATGTCACATACAGTTGAAACCAGAAGTTTACATACACTGTATAAAAAAACATATAGCCTTTTTTTCTCACTGTCCGACATTTAATCAGACTAAACTTTAACTGTTTTAGGTCAGTTAGGATTACCAAAATTATTTCTATTTGCTAAATGCCAGAATAATCACAGACAGATTTTTTTTTTTTTTTTAAGAGATTTTTTTTATTACTTTCTTCAAAGTGAGAAGTTCACATAGGCTAAGATTAGGATGCCTTTAAAATAACTGGGAAAGCCCAGATGATGATGTCGTGGCTTTGGAAGCTTTTGATAGGTTAATTGACAACATTTGCGTTAATTGGAGGCACACCTGTAGATGTATTTTAAGGCACACCTCAAACACACTGCTTCCTTTTGTGACAACATGGGAAAATCTAAAGATATCAGCCAAGATATCAGGAAGAGAACTGTGGACCTCCACAAGTCTGGTTCATCCTTGGGTACAATTTCCAGATTCCTGAAGGTTCCACGTTCATCTGTTCAAACAATTATACGCATATATAACCACCATGAGAATGTCCAGCCATCATACCGCTCAGGAAGAAGACGGGTTCTATGTCCCAGAGATGAAGTGTTTTGGTGCGAAATGTGCGCATCAACCCCAGAACAAAAGCAAAAGACCTTGTGAAGATGCTGCTGACGCTGGTAAGAGAGTCATTATCCACAGTGTAATGAGTCCTGTACTAACATGGGCTGAAAGGCTACTCAGAGAAGAAGAAGACATTACTCCAAAAGCAACATATAAAAGCCAGATTACAGTTTGCCAATGCAAACAGGGACAAAGACCTTAATTTTTGGAGACATGTCCTGTGGTCTGATGGAACTGAAATTGAACTGTTTGGCCATAATGACCATCGTTACATTTGGAGGAAAAAGGGCGAAGCTTGCAAGCCTGAAAACCATCTCAGCTGTGAAGTACGGGGTTGGCAGCATCATGTTGTGGAGGTGTTTTCCTGCAGGAGGGACTGGTGCACTTCACAAAATAGATTGCATCATGAGGGAAGAACATTATGTGGAAATATTGAAGCAACATCTCAAGACATCAGCCAGGAAGCTGAAGCTTGGGCACGAATGGGTCTTCCAAATGGACAATGAAAACTGTTAAGCTAAAAGTCTGCAAGTTTGTTTGAAAATGTTGCATACATTTAGTTGTTTTACCTTAATTTAAATTGAAAATCAGAGTATCATGTTTGTACCTGCCAGTGGAATTGGCAATCAGCCCAAGTGAGTTGGAAAATAATATCTTGTGATCTTCTCCATCAGGTCTGTGTAGGTGTGGTTTGATAAGTTTTTGGTGACGGCGGCTTCAAAAAATAATACAAATGACTCCATGGCCTTGTTGAAATGTTGATAAATCTTGATATGTTAGCCTGGAAGTTTCTAACTGTCACTTTTTCCAACTGAGCCCTTCTAAATTTTGTCAGAAAATGTAGTTTACACACAACCCCACGGCTAAAAGTGAGACCAAAAATGATTCTAAATGTTCATCACTTATCACTGACACAAGAACAAACTTTCTCTAAACTGCAATATTTATTTCCATAAAAGCATAATTACATGTACAGGAGGTATAGAAAATGCATACTGTAGTGAATCTTATTATAGTGGGCAATTTTTACACCTAAGTACTTTCAGAATATGAGATACTTTATAGTTATATTGGTGTTCAAACATTATCAGAATAATCAGAGCAATGTTTCAGAGGAAACACTGCATGTTTTCAAGAAAATCACCCCTGATGTGTGCCAGCTTACATATTTTCAAGGGGACGATTTTCTTTTCGGCACAAATGGCTACTTTCAGCATCATGACCTTGCTCAGTATTTGGAACAGCGTAGGAATGATCCATAGATGGTTTGATCTATCCACCGGCGGAATTTGGACACAGCCGTGTACACGCCAGGAAACTTAGCATCACCGCAGCCGTTGCCCCAGGAAACCACGCCATAGACCCGTCCTCCGCACACCAGCGGTCCGCCAGAGTCTCCCTGCGAAGGACAGGACCACACCCTCTTCTCAGTTACCATGTCACAAAGAGTCTCACAATAAAAGCTTTAAGTTTCACATAATGTTGCCGTAAAGCTGCTTTAATGTTCCTGATTGCTGTTACAGGATACACTAAATTATACAAAGAGTCTGAACGGCAGGGCCTCAGAGGCAACTATTTCAGTAAGCATCCCCTACTCCTGGATGCCTCTGCCATGTAACATTAGTTGTGTGTTGTGTAAAAACTAATAACATCGAAGAACATTACTGTCAAAGCCAAACAACACCCTTTTCACAGAATTAAACAATTCAAAGACACGGAGTCCTCACAGAATAAGGCATTGTTACAGAGATTTCCTGACAAAAAAAAAAAAGCACATTTGCTGTCACATATGGAACATGCCTGTTAGATTTACAGTGTGAATTGCAGTTATGTAATAATCCACATGGTTTTGTGTGTAAGTGACACCAGTGGAACACTATTTCATTACATGTGAACCTTTTTACATGTACAAAAAGCATATAGAAAATAGGTAGGTCTCACGTTTCATATGTGACGTATTCACATGTGGCTTTTTAAAACGTTTTTTCTATAAGGATTACATCATTGAGGCACATTAGCAGAGATGTGGGGAGGTCTACATTCTCATTAGGAAAGGCCCAGTTTAATGTTGTTTTGTTTCATAATATCAAATCACAATCTCTTGGAATTGTTCATCATAATCACTTGAAAAAGCCAACACACAAAGTTGCCGTTAAATATAGCACTTTTTAATTTCGTCATTCACTTCTTTACTCAAGGCAGAATATAGCCTACTGGTATGTCACACATTGAATTTCATGTAATTTTCCTCTCACACCAAAGGCTGGGCACAAACTCTTTTATGTTACAACCAAGTCAGTGTGTTGTTGTTATTGTTGTGCTGTTGTGGATGAGTTTACCTCAAAATTACAGCCTGGGTTTCAGTGCCGGTGCTATTTTAGGGTTGCTTCTCTATCTCCTCTGCAACTATCCTGACTAATGTAATTCTTGAGGATGGACTGCCACGTTTGCTTAATAAAAGCTTCCAGCAAAACCAACACTGACATGATTAACTGTATCCTCACTCCGTCAGGGGGATGAGTTTCTCAAAACTAAGTTATTGTTTTGCTCTAATGTGAGATGATGAAGCAGGGATAAGTTTGTGCTATTCGATATACGTCGAAAACCAAGGATGGTATCTTGGGGAATGTATTATTTCAAAATGGATTTTAATTTCTTTTCGGAGATCAAATTCAAATGATCTCGCTCGTCACAATGGGCACAACTGGACAGCCGTTACGTAACTTACCTTGCAGCTGAAACTTTTCTGAGATAACTGTGCGTAAGCAAAGATATATTTGTCCTCTGTACCTTGCATGCATCTTTTCCTCCAGCCCTGTAGCCGGCACAGATCATGTTTGCCGTGATGTTCCCGTTGAAGGAGTCGCTGCTGTTGCACCTTGCAGTTGAAACAATGGGCACCGTGACTGTCCGGAGTGTGACGGGAACCTGGCTTCCACCCAGACTATTGTACCCCCACCCAGACACCCGACACACGTGGCCTTCAAGCACGCCTGTCCCCTGCCTAGGAAGAGGCACCAGCGACACGAATCTGTTCAGGACCATGGGGGCTCGCAACTGGACAGAAAAGCAGAGAACAGTAGGGTAAAAAATATGCAGTACAATTGCATATTTAACCCTACTCAGGACTTTTGGGGTCTTTTGGACCCCAGGCCATTTGGTTTAGGTGACAGGTATTGTTTTTTAATTTTTGAGATTTTTTAAAAATACAACAAGAAGGACATTTTTGATGCATTTGGAACCAAAACTACATCAACTTCTCAGAACATTTATTTAACATAGTATAAAAGTCTATAATGAATACCAATAAATATTTTGCGCATATTCTTTCTTGGGATCCAGTAGACCCCGAAAGACCTTCTACGTATGGCAACATGAAAGTCCTAAATAGGGTTAATCATTACCAAAATATACAATACCTTCTTATTAATTAACATTGAACCAACTGAGAATAATCTGTTCTATTTTAAATCACTGTTTGCTTTCCCAGCCTTCAAACACTGCAATCAGCTGAGTTTCTAGCAACAGAAGGGAACTATTTTTAGCAAAACATGCTACCTGGCCAGTACCAAACAGCAGACAGGCAAAACGATATTATATTATTGTTACATTAAATGGTACTATTGAACTATCATAAGACAAGATTACAGTATGAATAAATCTCTGTATTGTTTCGGCCATACCTTGATGAGCATGATGTCAGCGTTGTTGGTGCTCCTGTTGTACAGTGGATGGGTGACTAGCCTGTGGGGTTTAGCATACTGCTCAGTGCCCTCGAAGATATTTACTTTGTAGTCACCTGCCACTATCATCATCTGCTCTGCCCTAAAAGACAATGTGTTACCATTTTACATAACGTTCAGCACCAAATAAAGCACAAATAGCAGATTTGGTCATTGGTAATAACTTCCAAAAGAGGAGATCAGCACAGGACTTGTTTTCAACACCATAAAATGGTAAAGATCCTCGTTTTCTCTTTGAGAAAACAGTTTTTGTAGTTTACTGAATAACTGCATGACACACACGAGGAATTATGACCAGCTCACAAAGTCACAGAACACAGTGTGCACAAGAGTTGACCGTGACCACCGTGAACTGTTTGTCTGCCAGGGAACAATGGCTCACTGTGAGCAGGCAGGGCTGGGACAGTACAACAGAAATATGGCCATTTTCCTGGTTCCAGACAAGATCACACTTCACTGTCTCCCTCTCTCTCACTCACACACACACACTGATGATGCGCCAAGGTCAGCTGACTCAAGCGCATCTGTGTGCTGTTTGACTTCCAAAGGCCCGTATGGAGGTTTACTTTGTGTCGTGATGAAGCGGCACCGTTTTGACGTTACCTACCCGTAGCAAAATGAATGTTTGCTTTTAGGCATCTGTTGGGACCATCTGCTCACAATATATAAATCATGCCAAGTTAGCTTCCATACAGTGACTTCTAGTCCACTGAAAGCTGGCAGAACAATGTCACTGAATGTGCAAGTAATTCAGAAACAGTTTAATCTTTCCCTTGAGCAAAGTTTTGGCACAACTGTCAGGTCATGTTTTACATTCATGAGGGAGGTATTCAGGTAAACAGCTTTTATTCTTAGTTGATGACAGTTCTTTTTTTTTTTTTACCTAATAAAATTAAAGACTGTAAAACAAGAGACGGTAGTGATTTGATCCCACCACTGTTTGTAGTCTTGTAACGAGGGTCAGTGTTGTAGCCACTTTGGATTGAATACAAAGACCTTACCAGATAGGAATCAATAGCCACATTGTCAATTTAAGTAAGAATTTAATCTTAGGTATGTTGTTTTCATTTATAAAGTAGTGTTGTTTAACCACACCCAAACTCAGGTCCAAACCAATCAAATCAACATTTATCTCTGCCCATATCTGACATTTAAACCAATCACATTCAGCAATGAACCCAAAGTGCGTATACAAGATGGACATAAAGACCGCTATGACACCCATACCACAGAAGAGGAGAAGAAAGCCAGGTGAGATGCATGGCCAGTGACAAGCTTATATGCACAGCCTGCATCATTAAGTCAGACTCATATAAAATGTACATAACCACCGACATGTCACCCATTGGTTGATGGACTAAGGTTTGAAGGGTTGTGGTTTGAAGCAGTAAGTTTGGCCTTCGGTCATTGCCATCTTTTGAAACCAGACATAATGAGCAAAGAGCAGCTCTGACTGTGAACTCGTGGACAGTATGAACTTACAGTAGCAACCTGTTGGTCACTAGTTAGCCCTGTTGTAAAACATACTGTGTTTTGTCATCTTTTCCTTTCTAAACGGTACCATAAATTACTAAATGACCATAATGATGTACTGAAGTAGACTTGAAACCAAAGATTCAGATCACAAGCACATTATGAAAATGTTTACCGCGGTAACAATTCAAGTGAGAAGTAGCATCATTTTCTCAAAGACTTCGATACAATGGCCTGCTGGCCAGAAAGAATGCAGGCGTAAGGTCCTTTGGCGTTGTCGTCCATCTTTTACACAGTTTATGGCCTGCCCTGTTCTGCAGGCTGCAGCCAGATTTGCTTGGATAATTTATTTACTTTACTGTTTAACCTCCCAGTTACTCGCTTTATAATTTTGTGATGATAAGCGCATAAATGTAGATTTATCCTTTACAATTCTTTTTAAGGTAGTTATGCAGAAAGTAGCTCTTATTTATGTAATCTGTGTGTTTATGTGTGGCTATGTGGAAACAAACTTGCTTGTAAAGGTTAGATGTAGAAGTGTTCCCCACAATTTCTGAAACATTCACACCTACTTCACGCCATGATTGGAGGTGAGAAAGTAAGCAGTACCTCTTTCTATAGCTCTCTTATTAAAGTAGTTACACAACTGTTTGTATTACTTTTGCCTTCCAGTGTGGTACATACACTGGAAAACTAGTTCTTTAGCAGCATAACCTGGGACATAGTTTATCTGGTCTGTATGCTAACATTTTCTAACTAAATTCCAAAAAAAAAGAAATTGTTATGTTATTAACTTTGCATGTATTTTGTGATAAACCAAATGTTGGACCAATAAAAATGTTGACATTGTCTGACAATTTCACTAGAATTAGGTTTTGATTGATACATAAAGGACTGGATGAAATGTCATTGCAATCCAGATGCTAAAGAAGCCAAAGGACAAAGCTTTATGGAAAACTCATGTAATAATGAAAAACCCCTTGGACATGCCTCATCAGCACAGACTGACCGATCAACTACGGCAAACGGCACATGTGGATGTGTCCTTTACAGATGTTTTTCGTGTAGTTATGCTGGGAGTAAACTGTCAAACATTTGCAACATTGCTAACATAGAAACAACGAAAATGGGGTTTGGGAAGTTTTCCGTCACCAACAACAGCACAGTTATAGTTATTTTTGACGGCTATTAAACATTCTTACCCGATGTTACAGTGGGCTGCAGTCAGCACCCAGTACCTGTGAACTAAAGATCCACCACAGAAGTGTTGGCCGCTGGTGCTCTGCAGTGACACGATGTATTTGATGGAGTTTGGTGCAGCGGCGTGACCACCTACTATGCGTGCCTGCATGAGCGCACGGCCTGTGTGGAAAAACAAACATTGGCATGACAAGGACAGAACATGAGGTGTATGTGTGTTGTTAATTTGTCTGAGAAGATTCACAGGAAATCCTTCCCTCCTCGTCAACTCATCATCTGATAATCTTTTTGAGCTGTGACTGACTAGTGGGAGGGAGATGACAGTGATGAAGAGCAGACTTCAAAACTGCTTTCACCAAAACAAACTTTCCCTACTGAAGAAAAATCATGTCACATTCAATATTTAAAAACTGAATTTCCTCTATGCTGCTTTCATCTGAACTGCTAATTACTCATCCTGCATGTATAGTAATAGCTCCCAAGGTATGGATATCAGCCACACTTAAAACCTTCAGTAAGAAGAAGAGAAACATAAAAATTGAGGCCCTCTAATCCCCCACCCCGACCCCATTCCCAAGCCCTCTGACCCAGCCTTGCAGTTTGAGGATTTCTGTCACTTGGGAGGCCACTGCGTAATGAAGGTAATGCAATATAGCCTGACCTTCAAGTGTCACCACCTCACTTTGGGTTCTGAAACATTAGAGTGGGGACTCTTTCTTCCTGCCTTGTGCAACAGCTCAGCTACTGTACACTGGCCTCAGGCTGCACAGTCGGAGATGTGATACGAACAGTGAGGACTGTTTCCTGCAAACATCTACCACTGTGGATGGAAATAAGTCTGATTTTTTGATTAACACAGTTGAGGATTAATCACAACCTGAAATGTTGATGCTGCAAATTGAAGGAAAGCAATTTAAAGGAACAGTTGACCTTTTTTTTTTGTTGAGATTCTGATGAAGCTAATTGCATTCTAATGCAGCAGCAAACCAATATCCTACACTTGATTTGGTAAATATGAGGGTAGAACCCAGACTTGGAGAGCTTAGGTGAGCACGTAGATGGTGAAACACTGGAAACAGTTCAGTTTATCTGGGGTTGTGAAAATTCTACCAGCAGACACTCCAGTATGAAGTCTATCACAATAAAAAAGTACGACATATGAGTCTCAGTAAAATGCAGAATTATTACTTTTCATTTTGTTTTTTGTGCAGATTGAAGGAATGAGAATTAACATGCTAAGTGACATCCAGAGATGCTAGTAAATAGGTGGAATTTGTTCCCTTTTAGCACAGACTGACTAACTGTTTCATCCTATATCCACTCTTCATACAAATCTAGCCAGACGCTGGTGGTCGAATCACGGTGCTATCAGTCCTCTCATCTAACCATCAATAAACGTATTCCCCAAATTCTCCTTGAAAAATGTGTTGTCTTTTTAAATTAGGAAACAGTGATGTTTAAATTTAAAATACATGCCTGAGACAAAGTTAGCTCTAAATGCTGGGATGCTGTTGATTAGCAAAGAATCAAACAACTTAAATAAAACATATTTTGTAGCAAAACTTTAAAAAGTATGTACTCACTGTGGACTGTCATAAGATCGAGGAGCGCACAACACAAACACAAAAGCAGGTTCATCATAGCGGAGGAGGTTTGAGGCCGTTATCTCACAGCAGCAGCTGAACCAGACAACCGGTGTCCTCTGCTCCTGTGTGCTGGCCCAGCCTGGTCACTCATTCCTCCGTGGAAACAGTGGGAGTTGGTCACATCAACATTTATCCTCAAGTTTCGTCTGTAAAAAAAAAAAAAAAGTTCTTAATTTCATTGTTCATCGTGCAGCAGCAGGGTCCAACACTGTGGCATTGATTGAGGAGGAAAGAGAGAGGAGAGAGCAACAAAGTTCACATTGAGAAAGTATCTCCTGTCAGAACTCTTTCTTCAGACCCTGCTGACTTGTCGAAAGGCCTTACATTGTTGCCATGGCAACACGGGGTGCTGTGCAGAGCAGGTTCATCTATACTGTATCAGCACGCTCTGTCTGTGTCATCATCCCGGCTTATCGCTGTTGAAATGTCTGAATGGCCTACTGTGCGTATATTTGTGTGTGTTGCACGGCTTTGTTTTGTAGCTGTGGGGGGGATTCACGTCCGAGTCAAGATAACAAGGAAGTGTTCTGTGCACAAGTGTTTCTCTGTGTATGAATATGAGTCATCAGTCATCACTGAATCGGTGTCAGAAATGATAATAACACATTATTATCAGTCCTTTGAAGATGATGATAATAATCATCAGCAGCCTTCTGGCAAGTCAGCATCATCCACAGCATGACGGGAGAATCTCGCCTGACCTCCTCTTGTCCCACATTTACAGCGTGCTGAATAATTGATGCTTCACCCAGCAGAATGGGAGAGTCGGCTTAGTGTGGCCTCCCGCTGTCAGGTGTTTCCTGGGCTGACGCTAACCCGACATAGCCTACAGTAATGTCTTCTTCCATTTCAACAGCAACAACCAAGCAAGGATGATTCAAGCAATTATTGTCTTAATATTGCAAACATTTAACCAGATAATCGTCTTTACAATGGTAATTTGAAGCCCTTTATAAAGGGTCAGTTCAACCAAATAACAACAAACTCACTCACACACTGCGGGCATCTGGTAATGCAGTGAAAGTTGATCTTATTTGAACAGACTATTTCCGCAAGATAAAATGGAAATTCATTGCATAGCAGTGAAATGAGACTTTTAAAACACAACTTTTCTTAGGCCCTATGAAAACTGTAAATAATAGGATGTGTTATCCAGACAAATGGAAGCACATGTTGCTGGAAGAGTACAATTCACATGCTGCGTAGCTTTATTTACCTTTTGCTTATATTATATTTATATCTTTTACATTGTGTGTCTGTTTCGTGCCTTGATTTTAGCTTAACTGGTATATTCATTAAAGAGATATGCATATTCACTTTCTTCAGGCGAGGTAGATGAGACAACTGATACCACTCTCACACTGGTCTGTTACCTCATGACTCCAGGGAGTCACTGTTCCCAGCCGACAAATGCTCTCCAGGAAGCCATTGCGCGTCGTTTTTATATTGGTTTTAATGAGGTCTTCTTGACACAGTGTGGATACAGATATTAAATCCGTAGACAAATAGACACATTCAGTCTTTTTCCATCAACACAAAAGTCTACACTGGGGAAAACAAGTCTCTGTGTAGCGACATGTGCTGCTCTCAGACTCACCGCTGAGATAACTGCGTTTTATGCAAGGCCTCGACCTCACTGTCGCTGTCATGAACACACACACACACACACACACACACACACACACACACACACACACACACACACACAAAGGCATCCTGTTTGTCACATTAACTTTGCACCTGAGGGACAGCAGAGCACGCTATCACCTTTCACCCTCACAGTTGGAATGACACCTTGGGGAATGTGGACTGTATAGAGGCTATGACTTACAAACCAAACGCCCCCATGTGTGGGAACTCAGAATGGAAAAAAAAACAAAAAAAAAAAACTGCTGGGAACCTAAATACAAATGACACCTGGGAAGATGAAAAAAGCTGGGAGGGGAGTGGAAGTATACTGGAGACAGAACTTAGACCACAGTGTATCCCTGCTGGATCACACTTATCAACACAGAGCAGCCTTTGCACTAATTTAACACTGTTTTTCCCCCCATAAACACGACTGTTTTATATTGACCATGAGTCAGCTTGAGGGGAAAACAGAAGCACAGAAAGACACTCCAAGCCACTTTTGCTCTCAGCTTCTTCCGATCCCGCTGGCTGGTCAAAAGGCCTTGCATTGTTTCTGACTGTTCGAGTAAAGAATGGATGCTGTTATGTCCTGCCACATCTCAGGTTGATGGTGTGCTAGAGGGCAAATATACATCAGACATCATGCTACAGACTCGTGCTTTTGTCCTGTCTCTGGAACATCAGTGGATGTACCAACAACGTGTCTGTCAAGTATCATTTCCACTGCTTGTTGGGTTTCATCTCCGTCAGGCTTCACTTTGTCTCCTCTGCTGGACAATAGACCAAAGTTGTGAGAACAAAGCCTCTAGAGAGAAAGGCGTAATAAAGGAGAAGGCTGGGTTTTAGTTTTTTTTTTGTGCTAGGTCAGACTCTCCTTTCCATGTGGAGAGAGAGAGACATTTAGATAAATGGCGGATCATGGTTGGGAATAATAAGAGTGATAGTCATGGGTATGGTATAAAAGAGGCCCAACAGCTCCCAAACTTGTCTTTGTATGAGAAGATTGTGTTAGAGTGGGAGGGCGAGTGTGTGGATGCTGAACTGATTCTTAATTGACTCTTGATAAGGTGAGGCCGCTTTGTATACTATGATATACATTTACATATTATAGCTCATTAGCTGTGGGGCTGGGGAATAAGGGCAGTCTGCCAACTGTTTATGTAATAGAAAAGTTTTATCAGGATTCTTTTTCTTTTTCTTCTCATTCAGACTTTTAACTAGTTAGAAAACCCTTTACTGTAAAGATGCAATGCAATGAAAAGAATGCTTCCCAATGTTTATGCTTATTTTTAACTATTCATTGTAATTATAATCTGCTCATCAAACATGATCTTAGTTGCAGAAGCTCATATCTGAATATGCACCAAATGCTGAGACATTATGCTTTAATGCTACAGAAGATGAGAAATGTGTCGGGTGCAGCCGTTTTGCAGTGATTGCAAATCTCAGCTCTGTTTGTTATCCATCCTGAGCCTGTTTTGAACCTGTATAATTGACTAATATGACCAAAAGGGTTAAATGCTAACATTTAAATGTATCTTATATCTAAAGGCATGTTAATGGTTAAAAAAAAAAAAAAGTATTGTAAGAAGATTCCTGGCCACTCTAAAGAAGCAAAATTAAGACTCATTAGACATTTAGTGAACAGTAATAGTTGCACCTACAGCACTAATTTATCCAGAAGTCTAAAGAAAACACTCAGTTGTACAGTGGTGAATATATTTATGGTATTAAAATGATCTTCCATGTGAATTAGTTTGAGCTATTTTAGTTAATCATACAAGACATCTTTAAACCAACTGGTGGTGTAGCTTGCTGTTGTGTTGTTGTTATGTTATGTTTTTAATGTTTTTATTTTATTTTATTTTGTATTTCAGACATGTCACAGTATAATAAAGACAAAAAGGAGAATATAAAACATAAAAAAAGAAAAACAAACAAACAAGCAATAACCAGAACCTAAAATATTGTCTGAAGATGAAGTTAAATTTATAAACTCTTACCCACTACATTTCTTTATATTACGTACGTATGTAAACATAAGGGTAGTAGAATGCATGGATTTATTAAGTCTTTCTTTCCTGCTATACGGGACATTTTCTACCATGATAAGACCTGTGACACTGACTATCTTGATTATTTTTTTATGATGTTTTTTCAGTAGTGACTATGATGAATCTGGCTCCATCGTGCCACTTCTTACTGTTCTTCCTGCTTGTTGTTTTCCTGACAGGTGAGATACAATGGCATTGACTGCAGACAATACAATCACACGAAGTCTTTTGAATACTGACTTTTTGACAGAATAAGAAGCCATCTTTCTTTTATGAACAGGTTCTTTGACATAATCCTCTCTGTATCTGGGTATATAACCTCCTCCTCCTCTGCACTCAGGTGTGTACGGGAAGCGAATCGTCGGGGGTGGAGTGGTACCACCTTACTCCATCAAGTATCAAGCCTCCCTCTGGTTCGCCAACTCCCACTTCTGTGGAGGCACCCTCATCCGCCCACAGTGGGTGGTGTCTGCTGCCCACTGCTGGAGGCCGTAAGTTCCTGCAGTGCTACACCACATTTTTGCTGCACTTCCACTGAAGCCAATGGAGCACGTTGCATTCAAGTCTCAAAGCTGTAAACTAAAAAGAATATTTGGGTTTTTTTTGTTTCAAATGTCGTAATTAGTTGAGCAGCAAACAGTGATAGATTGTCTGATCAATAGTGAAAAACCTTAAATATCTTGGCTCTGTGCTGTTGTAGGAGTCGCATGTTAAAAGTGGTCCTGAGTGAGCACAGCATCGTCAGGGAGGAGGGCTATGAGCAGATATTTAACGTCTCCTTGGTCATCAAACACCACGATTACAGTTACTGGACGCTTGACAATGATATCATGCTGATAAAGGTAAGGAACCGTGTGGAATGTGACAAAGGGTTGTGTTTTGAGGAAGGTAATAAGTAAATCTTATGATTTTGGTTGAGTGGATTACAGGCACTAGTTAGGTTCCAGACACTGATAAATCCTGCTGTATAGCTCAGTGGCAGACTATGAAAAATGTGATGAAAAAAGAGCAACAAACTGTACCAGATGTGTACAGCGATGTGACAATATTCACATTTGAAAACGAAGACTGTCAAATTTCACCTTTGCGCTTCTCCTCAAAGGCCTGCGTGTTATATTGTGATCTACGGAATTCATTAAATGTGAAAGTGACACACAAATCAATGATCGAGGAGCATATGTATGTGCCTTTTATTTAGCCGTTCCTGTTGGTAGTTGCACCTTTTTTTCTAACTCTACGCCCTGAGTTTCTGTTTAAAATTTGTGTTCATAAACACCAAGCTGAGGTGACCCATACTGACATCATCAGGGTTACTTCCACAGCACCCATGACTAGATGTTCCTGAGTAAAACTATCGGAGTGTTCTTTCAACATTAGTCATTTAGAGACTCGCTGCTTTTAATGTTCAGAGGAACTGTTCCAGTGCACTGCAACAATTTTGCAACTGTGACACAACTTCCTGGTTGGTTTAATCAACCTGTGCGAGATGACACAAACTTTTTCCCATTTATTTAGTAAGCTACCATTTTGTTTTTTGGGGGTTTTTTTTCTTATCTTTGGCCTTTATGGTCTTGTTTGATTCACAGTGTGCACTGCCCAATTGCATAAACAGCTGAGTAGATCATTTATAAATGCAATAACTGATAACACTGTAACAATTTACTGTGTAATCTTGTTGAATCAGGCAACAACAACTCAAATACTGAAAGAAAACAAGACTGTGAGTTGTAGCGGTAAATCACCTATGCAGCTAACTAGTGCCAAACTAGTCCTTTATGACTGTGTTGTTGTGCTCCATACATGACTGACAATGAGTTTCTCTTTATTCAACATTTACAGCCACTTTTTGAGTTTCTTAAAACTACTCAGCTTCCCCTCAGTATTAGAAAGAACCTTTTGCATTATTCTATCTGAGTTTTTCAAGATTCTCCAAAAGCTTTTTCATAATCTTACTGTCCCTCTGTATTTCTGATTCCATATTACAACTTTGAAATACTTCACTTTCATTATTACTTCAGCAGTTCTGCAGATTATCCCAGTTGTTACATAACTTCATTTTTGTTTGCCAGTACTAGAGTATGGAGTAAAATTCTTCCTTTTCTCTAAATACCCAGCTGATACTAGCTCATTCCCATAGTCTTGCAAAACGTATATTTAATTTTTTTTAAAAACAACAAAAAAACAAGTAAACAAACAAACAAAAAAAGTTCAATATTGTGAACAGAACATGCATAGCGTATGGAACCCCTGAGTGGCCATAGAGGGAAAAAAAAGTAAAATATCTTGTGGCCACGAGATAGAAACTCGTGGTCACGCATTTTTATCTCATGGCCACGAGTTAAAATATCTTGTGGCCACTCAGGGGGCTCCGTACCTTCAGCACCAGGTTTTTATGATGACTGACTGAGGGCTATGTTCTGTGTGGGTCAGTTGGAGCGTCCAGCTATCATCAGTGCCCTCGTCGAGCCGATATCTTTGCCAGACCTGAACTCACCCCCGCCGAGAGACTTCACACTGTGTACAGTCAGCGGCTGGGGCGTAACCTGGGCCTACGGGCGTAGACTGTCACCTGAGCTGAAGTCTGTGGATGTGGAGCTCTTCTCCAACTGCTGGAACTTCTACTCCTTCAGGGTCACGAGAAACATGATCTGTGCTGGCTCTTTTCTTGGAGGGAGAGACTCCTGTCAGGTGAGCCCCAAAATCTGGGAGGGAGACATTTCTTTTGCCTCTCACAGATAATGAAACACGTCCAGGTGATGCAGTAAGATCAAGGTTAAATATAAATCTTGCACTTAAGTGGGAAAAAACAGTTCAACCGAGTTATTCATTTTAATACGCTGCATTAGTTTATTTATTTTTGGCAACACGGGAACAATGTGAACAAGCTGGTGACGTACTATCAGCTTATGTAGTTGGCCAATGTAAGCAAACAGTAGCAGCAATGTTTACTTGGAGTTATGTTTCTGACCACCTGACAAATAAAAGTCCAAAATACACTTTTCATCTTACGTTTTCATCTTCACCCTGACGTGCGAGCTGTCAACCTAAGTGCAGACGTCGCTTTAGGTACCGTTCCGATTGAAACACTGGCCAGTTGAGCAGTCGTAGTAACTGAAGCTCCCCAAACAGCACACTTATGTGGAAGCATGTGCATTCATCGAGTTTCTCCTCTCATTTATTTAAGTTTTTCCTCCAATATATCACCCAGCCATATCTTAAATCTTTCAATTTTAGATTAAAATGTGTCACACTGCCTTAACAAACCCTCTGAAAATGTTTTGTTGCTTTTCACTCCTCAGGGTGATTCGGGAGGACCTCTCGTCTGTAACAATAAATTTGAAGGCATCGTGTCTTGGGGCGTCAGCTGTGCCATTCCTTACTACCCCGGAGTCTACACCAAAGTCAGAAACTACCTCTCATGGATCAACCTTGTCATCGAGAGCAGCCAATGAGACTCTTCATGACTGGTTCGTAGAAGACTCGACTGCGATGAATATTTGAATGGATCCTAATGGACCCAATGGATTTAATGTTTTGTTTCGTCTTTTATATAGAACTTTTATATAAACACAAATGTATTTGCTAAAATTAAATTGCTTGGATTTGACACCACTGAGTGTGAATGTGCAGTCTGTGAACTTACACCTCGCACTCACAATCTTCTTCCTCCCACTGATTGAATATCACCAAAAGATATTCTTAAAACAAACAAACAAAAAACCAACAGTCTGTTGTGTTTGTTTGACTAAATTTACCTTTAATTTTATAGTTATCAGACACAGTTTTTTTAAAAAGTTATGTTAAAAATATCACCAATTCTGGATCACATTAACATCCGGCATCATTTTATTCTTTGAAATCCTTCGTTTCTCCACTGGTCAAACAGAAACAAGCTGTGTAACAGACAAGGATCATAATTGATGAAGTACATTTTTCATTGTTTGTTAATGTTTGATGTCACACCTGCACAAAACTGCTCATGGATAGCGACAACAACAAAAACCACCACCCGCTTCCTGCCTGACTGCATGTTGACATCCTCGCGAGTGATTGGCTGTGACTGCACCCTCTCCCCTTCCCCTCTGTCCCATTCACATTTAAAGCTGAGCCACAACAGACTCATTCACAGACTCAGAAACAACTTTACAAACCTCAGGAGCAAGTATGGACAGAGTCAAGTCTAGCAGCAGGGAGGTGATGCATGTTAAGGACCCTGGCTCCAGACACTTGTCCCAAGAAACAGTCCAGACACTGATTCATCAGTCTCAGGAGGCAAAGAAGCAAGCCTACTGTCCTTACAGCAAATTCAGAGTGGGAGCCGCTCTCCTGACACATGACAACTGTGTGTTTACAGGTGAGTTACACGTGAAACTTTGTTTCTTGTTGATTGAAAAGAGTTTTAGGAAAATAATTAGACTTCTTGGGAATATGTCCAAAAAAGAAAAAAAAAAAAAGACAGTTAAAGTGTAAAGTGGAGAAGACACGAGAGCACCAGTATTATGTAACTTGTACTGGAGTCAAGTCTATTCTTGCTCTATTGCTGTTTGAAAAAATTACATATGTTAGAGAATTTCATTAGTATGATGAAAGTCTCAAATTACAGCACAGGAAAATTGTACAGTGACTTGATCTGAGTTTTATTTTGATACATTAAGTCAGGGGTGTCCAATCCTGGTCCTCGAGAGCCCCTATCCAGCATGTTTTAGATGTTTTAGATGTTTTAGATGTTTTAGATTCACATGATCAGGATCGTTATCAGGCTTCTGCAGAAGCTTGATAACGATCCTGATCATGTGAATCCGGTGTGCTGGAAGAGAGAAACATCTAAAACATGCCGGATAGGGGCTCTCGAGGACCAGGATTGGACACCCTGCATTAAGTTAATAATTACCCGAGAGTTCGAATCACTGCACTAAAGGTTTATGTTTAACATGTTGCTTTGCAGCTAACCATCATTAAATCCTCACCAAAATTATTATTATTTTTTTTATTCCCGTTGACTGAATCAAATCGCATTTCTCCGGAGGGACAAATCTTGCCTTTCCCGTGAGTTAAGGTGACCTTTTGTCACGGCATCAGTTGCGTCAACAGCACTGTATACACTGGCAGGGATGTCAGATCACTGTCAACAGAAAAGCAAAGACACAACTGCTGTCGCTGTACAAAGCGAGGCAAGTCACGTGTCCCTCAGCAGAAATGCCTGGGGGGGACAAACAGCTAGCAAACAGCTGAGTGCAAAGACCTATTGAGCAACTATTTGGTTTGGCCAGAGGAAGTAAATATGCAGCCCCTTGAAAAGGCGAAAAGGCCTCTTTTTTTTGCAGCACATACAAAATTCTACGTATTTATCCCATGTCTGTACTTGTGTCTCCGGCAGGTTGCAATGTGGAAAATGCATGCAACAATCTTGGAGTGTGCGCTGAAAGGACTGCCATCTCAAAGGCTGTGTCAGAAGGCTACAGAAGTTTCAAGGCTATTGCAATTGCCAGGTAACATGTGCTTCTCACACTGCAATCTGAAAAGTTTTCCGTATTTCTTAAGACGCCGGCATCCATCCCGGCCTTGCACAGTCAACACTTACCAAACCATGACTCACTTCACATTACGTTCCTTCTTGCACGTAAAACTTAATCAAACTGATTCAGGGCAGGGTTTCTGTCAAGCAGCAATCAACTGACTGTACCTAAATAAGCAGCAGCACTTATGGCCTTTCTATTACCCTCTTGGGATGATAACTGTATTAGCTTTGAAAGAAAACTGAATGGAACAGATCGTACACAGACGAAAAGGGATTTGTTTCTAACTTTGACATATATTTCCCCAGATGTAATAAATATGAGCTGCACCAGCAAGTGACTGTTTGCTTCTTCAAGTCTTTTGTTTTCTCTGCTACATTCTTCCTCATATGTTCTTTGCAGTGACCTGAAAGACCATTTTATCTCCCCATGTGGTGGCTGCAGGCAGGTCATGAGAGAGGTATTATCTCTGCTTGTCTTGCTTTAGTAGTTTATTTTTTTTTTATTACTTTCAAGTGAATATAGTCTCCATCTCTCTGTTACGGAGAGTGTAATTATTTATTTTTTTTAACTGGACTTAGTCACTCCAAGAAACAGGTGGTAAGCAATATTTACACAGTTTTGTACTTGCCTGGGTAACACATTAGTAGGTGCTAGTTTCCTATTAACAAGAAGCTCCGAGTCTGACGCTTCAATATCCCATGTGCTGTCTCAGTGTGAGAGTTTAACTACTGTAATCAGTTTCTTTCTTTTCACAGTTTGGGTCCAATTGGGACGTGTACCTATCAAAGCCTGATGGTTTGTACAGGAAGATGACTGTGGACGAGCTGCTGCCCGTCTCCTTCGGCCCCGAAGACATGTCCATGGAAAAAGTGTTTGACATTCCTAACGAGTACTGAGCCCGCGTACTAGTACAAAAACACATACAAGTGTTAGCTGTTTGAATCGCCTCGACACATACTGTGTTTCATGTACATGCTGAGCAGAAGTTTATATTTATGGTAAATATTTGTTCCTGTGTTATCTACTAATTGTTAACAGTGTCATGTTTAAATTGATTTTATCTACATTGAAATTTTAATAAATGCAAAGTCTGGTAAATTAATTGTAAAGATTCATTAGTGAGCTATTTATGTACTTTATCATGCTCAATGCTGTTTATGTAGATTTACAAAACAAGAAAAAAGAAATGTATTAGTTTAAAGAAGCGTGTGGGGAAAAATGACAAAATATCAACGCCAGTCATACTTATCCACACATTTTAATAAATAAACAGCTTTAAAAAGGAGTTTCTTTTAATAGTCACATTTCATTTCTTACAGTTAGATTTGGACATAAAGGAAATTCAAAAGGACACACAAGAAAAAAAAAAATATTACTTTGAGTTGCAGTATACTGCAAACTGTGAAGCAGCACATTATTAAATTAAAGGGAGAGGGGATACAACAGAGGAGGTGAAACATAAAAAATGCCAGTGTCAATTTACTACTCATTTATTAGTGATTTTTGGTCTACTAATTCCATGCATTAGCATTTGCTGTGGTTTACAGTATAATATCGGATTTATTGTTTTTTCCCTGATTCGGAAAACTGCAGAGAATTTAAAAAAAGAGAAAAGGTCAAAATCTGCCCCAATCGAGAAGTTATAAACAAGGCAAAAAGGCATAGTTCGATTTCTAAGTACCACTCACTTATAATCCTAAACATCAAACTGTATAGACGGCTGTCAATTGTAAAGATGTGTTCAGGCTTGAAGCTAGATGCTTTATGTGGTTTAAAGTATGAAGTAGAGCAAAAATAGCAACAAAACATGATGGTTTTCCCATGCTCTATGACGTCACCTAATGAATGCATAGAGACAGCAGTTAAAGGAGAGGATAATAACACATGGGCCTGGTGTTAATTTGAGGTGCTCACACATTGATGGCACACAGAGCTAACAACAGCCAAACAGCCGACGTCTGTGCCATGATGCATACCGACTCTACGTGGATGTTAATGTGGACAAATAAAGCAATATGAAAATTTGCATTATGCAATCGCAACACTCTTTTGAAAGGTGTAGTTTGTTGCTAACAACACCCACCACCTGAGTGTGTGTATGTGTTGACTTCTCTAAATAATCAATATCCATCTGCTCCACACTAACGGTTAAAATAGGACATTCTGTAAACGGGCTGCAACAGTTCAGTGGCAACCTAAACTGCGAAAGAATACCTAAATAGTTATTTGAAAACTGCAACATCGCTCTGCAGCTTTCGTGCTAAATTATTTAAGCAGGAGGCAAGACCGCAAAGTGTAACTTTTCTTACTTTGACCTCAGCTCTCTGTGAAGGAGTTGTTGGCGGTATCGTCAAGTGCGGGCCATGCAGGGACCTGTAATCTGGGCAGGGTCCCCTCCATTAGCCTCTCCATCCACAGTCCCAGCCTGTCAAGCTTGTGATGAACTTCTATGTGAGTGGCCCTGCTGGAGCCTCTCTTGGATCCGGCCCTGTCCTCCCTGGAATGGGATCGGGATCGAGAGTGGGAGCTAGACCTGGACCTGGAGCGGGACTTTCTCCTGTCAGAGGTGGATGAGGTCTCAGATGATGAGTCGTTGGGGTCGTCTCCTGTGAAGACGGGTCTAAAGATGCAGAAATATTTCTTGTAGCCGTTGAGGGCCAGGACATGGCCAGAGTAGTCTGAAGACTCCTCGTCGTCATCCGAATGGCTCTCACTCCATGCAGCGTCACTGGCTGAGCGAAGGAGCGATGGCATCCAGTGGCGGTGCTTATCAGCGTTGAGGAAGGAGAAGTGGAGGGTCTGAGTTCTGTGGGTAAGAAGCCAAGAGGGTTAGCATTGATGCGTGGAAATAAATGCCATCAGGGGATCGTAGTAGACCATATAAACACTAAAGCACTTAATATTTCTCCATGACTCAGGTCGATATTTATATTACATGCAAAAAGGCTTTCTTTTAAAATATGTACAAATAAATAAACAATAAAACATGCACAATGCTATACGTTGAGACTTACCCAGAGAAAGAGAAAACCTCCTTGGCAAATTTCCTGAGCAAAGCATTCTTGGAAACATTGGTGAGCACCAGTACAACATTGATGTGGCCAGGCCTCAGCTTCACCAGGTTACTTATGTATGTGATGTCTGTCAGCTCTGTCACTTCCACAAAGTCTTTCTTTGGAGGACGGCTGCATGGACCGATGAGAAAGACAGAGGGATGCAAATTTAATAGGAGCACAGAAAAGTGTCAATTATGTTTGTGTGATTCTGAATCCTGTCCATAACAGCTACACAGACAATGTCCCATGTCAAGAATTTAGTCAAAAAACAGCTGACACATTTTCTCAAATGTCCATCTCAGTGTCAAAGTGGATATACAATAGACCCACAAAGTGAAACTGCTTACAAATTTGCAAAATGTTTAATATATATAAACTAGATATATCGGCGACCACATCGGTATTGGCCAACATTAGTGTTTTTTCCGATATATTGGTATCGGACCAATGAACAAATTTAGCCGATGTGAAAAACCGATGATTTTCTAACATTAGCACCTTCGTCTCTACATTTGATATTGCTGCTATTTCACAGATGTTTTTACTTAAACAGTCCTGGACTTGAACGTTAAATATGTTAAAACATGTTTAAATACGTCTTACTTTTGTTATGCAGTAAAGAAGACTATGTGGTCTAATTTGGTATGGGCTTCTTTTGAACAGTTTTAACATTCTCAGTGTTTAGTGATGCTAATTTTTCAGTGTGAACAAAAATGAATATCGACATCGGTAATATCGGTTATCGCCGATATCAGAAATCTTAATATCAAATATCGGTATCGGCCAGAAATTTTTATATCATGCATCACTAATATAAACCAATATAATATGATCTGTCTACAGTCGCATCATTTGTAAATCAGTGGGGTGACTAACTTGTACGCCTCGGGATTGCCGGTAACATCAAGAAACAAACAATTAAACTAACCAACAAAAGGTTTCAAACAAATCATTTATATGCACACAGAGGACATGTACGGAAAATATGTGCGACGCTTATTGTATCTGCAGGTTGGGTCAGACGTGTGCCAAAAGGCAACTAAGACCTCATGAGTCTAAAATATCACATAAAAGAGCAAAAGTAATACAAAGACGTGGTGAAAAATTCAAAATCTAAGCTTTACAGCAAAGCAGCATGCATCAGCCAGTTGTAAAGAATCGTGGTCAGTTGGAGGCCAATTGGTTTTTTGGAAAACCTTTGATATGCTTCTGTACTATTTTTTCTTTTTTTTAGATATGTTTGGGCTGCATTGGTCTGAGAAAATATGAATTCATAAACAGTACACTATTGGGTTCTGTTTAATTACCAATCAAACCAACAATCCCCACATCTTTCTGTAAGTTAGATACACTACCACTGAACTACAAAACGTGTTGTAAAAAACATCATTTAGACAGCCATTTTCAGTATCCAGTAACCACACTGTTAGTATCTCCCCTCTACGGTGGAGCAAAATGTCCATGTGAGACAGGTTTTGGCTGCTGATCTGTTAAAATCCTTTGGTCAAAGAATTCTGTTTCCATCTTGTGTTTGTATAATGTTACTGCATTACCTCGAGGTACTTGTTCTGTTTGATGCATCATTCTCAGTTTGTGTTTGCTCCTTTGGCTTCGGTTGTCGGGGTTTGCTCTCACCTGGCTCACTGAAAATACGCCAAAGAAAGGAATCATTAGTTTGGACACCAAAAGCTCTGATTTCACTTTGGGACAATGCTATGCAGCCAGTGTTTGGCTTCAGTGGAGAGAATAATCAGGTAACATTTTTAAAGACCGATAAACGCTACACAACAAATTTCCATTGTAGATATAGATGGTATGATTAAGTTTAAGAAGTTTTTAAAAAAATAAATAAAATAAATTGAAAATAAATTCTATGCTCCTCAGCACAGCCATAAAGTCATTAGCAATTCAGCAGATGAACAGTCTAATAACAAACTGCACAAAAGACAAATGTTTGAATTCTCTCTGCCTCTAGCTGTGATTGTGCTTTTTCCATAGAGGTGACCAGACTTTATACTGCAGCAAAAAATTAGCCCACAGTGAGTTAAAATAAAACAGGAGCACAGGCGCTACTTGAGGTTTAGAGGGTTTAAGTCGTTTTAGGTCAAATGTTTAGGCATTTGATGAAAATGAATGTGCTGGAAAACTGTCACGGCTCTCTCACCTGAATGCCTGAATGATGACAGTGCCAAAAAGAATGAAGAGAGCTGAGAAGATCAAGGACAGGATGGGCATCATCTCTCGCCTTGAAGAAATAAATAACACTCGTTGTTATTGAAAGATGCACAAGAAAATATAAAGCACAGCTTGTAGTCTTCATGTTGCCATCACACCTGTGATGGGACACGTTAGGTAAGTACGTACACAGCCTCCACAAAGTACACTTTGATCTTAATGCAGAAGCATGATTCAGCTTTTGATTTGATTTCAAAAATAACAGCAAAAAGCATTGCATGATTCTCTCTCTATGCATGAAATTCTGCAGGCTTCCTGGGTGAGTATTGTCTTACCAGTTTGAGTAGAGAAGGTCATCATAGATTTGAATGATATAATCATAAGCAGCATTCATCCACTGAATAATAAAAATCTGGTGAGGGGATCAAAAAGACAGAAAAAACAGTGATGTTAGTTCAAAAAACATTGCAGTTCAAACAAGCTCACCCTCAGACGACTGTGTCCGTGTCAGTGCAGAACCAGCATAGCAGTCTGAAAGCTTTGCTGAGTGTGTGTCTGCTGCGACTTACAGGGGCCATCTCGTTGTTGAGCTCTGGCAAGGTGGCATCTGAGGTCAGATAGGTGGGATCTTTCTGAAGGAGCTCCAGCTGCTCGTGGAGGCGATACTTGTCTTCTTCGCTGCCGTTCCAGCCTCCACTCACAGAGCGGTACAGGACCTTACCAGCCTGGCTCCGCCTCTCCAGAATCACCACCTGTCAGTGTTATTAAAGAGCCCTTTTACTGTAAACCGAGGCGCTGCAGGATCTTACAGCACATATCCGTAATCTGACACAGAAAAAATCTGATACAACCTCCACTTCTGTGCATTCTGGTTTTAAAAGTTTGTTTCACTGATCATGCTGTGCATGTTTTGACCCCTGACCTGAGATGAGAGTGCAGCCTGGTTGAGGAGCAGCGCCTGACAGAGAGGCTGCTGGTGACGCTGGTAGACGTATGCAAACCGTAGCACCTCTTTTTTATTAGTTGTGGCAAAGTCCAGGAAGGCCTTATTTCCTGGAAGGAAGGCTTGGTCCTCCCCTGTGATTAGCAGCACACAGTACCTGCAAACCGATCACCGTCAATTCACCTGCTGCAGCGGTCTTGCATAACTAAACAACACAACAATTCACTGGGACATCCAAAATAATGCTTGTCCAACTATTCTGTTTGGATTTCAGCTTCTTACAGTTGTTATATGCTCTTAAAAGTCAAATTCAACATCTGTTAGACTGCATTCAGCGTATTTTCCTTTTATATGACTTGAGCAGAAGTGGATAAAAAGAGGGAGAGGCAAGGAGGAGTTTAATTTAGGGAAAATATTAAGTACAGGACCATTAGCTACCAAAACTTCTCACAAAATGTCTTACTTCCTCCGTCGGTGGAACTGCTTTACGGGACATAGCTCATCAAAAAGCTGCTGGCTGACCAATCGTGGCACCTGCAGGAACTTGTTGTTGGACACAAACTCGTCCATGATTTGTCTTTTCATCCCTCTGGCCTAAGGGAGAGATATATGAAGGGGTGTGAAGGAGTTATATCTAGCCAGAATTTTCTCACCTAACAGGAGAGAACGTTTGATTAGTATCATAATAATGCAGCAGGTTTTGCAGGGTGTACCTGAATGATGTCAACAGGCTTCTCTGTGTCCTCCTTAAACAGCAGCATGGTGGGAGCGTACGTGTTTATGTTGAACTGCCGCAGGAGGCGACTGTTGTGTGTCTCGCCCTGGTCCACGAAGCCGAAGCGCACATAATTTCTGAAGGCGAATGCTGTTAACTGGAGAGTGAAGTGGGAAGATGAGAGCCCTCCAAAAGCAAATACAATAAAGAAGAGTTCATGGCAAAAATGATAGCTGCTTTTATTATGTCATCACTGTAAGTCTCAAATCGCTCTAACCATCTACGGTGCACAATATATTCATTGAAACTGTGCGATTCAGTGTAATAAAGGAGGACATATAAATGCATTAGCAAAATAAAAAAAACAGCAGAAAGAGCTGCTCAAACAGATGCCTCTGTAGTTGCAGTCGGAGTCTCATTTATTTGCTCTCGTGTCCTAGGGCAAAAAAGTCCTCAGCTCCAGATCTGTGAATATAAACTATCTCTCTGTTTACTACTGAAATATTTATTCTAATTAGTGCCCCAACTGCTTGAGTTCATGCATGTATATCTGTGCATGTCTTACCTTGTAGAGCAGGGGAACAACAGGAACTTGGTCAAACAAGAGAAGACTGGGTTTATTTTCACCATGCCAGCTATCGAGAAAAGCCAGGTAGTTGTTATCGGTGATCTGGAAAAACAATAAAAAATTGTTTTAAAAAAGTGTCGTCCTGTTAAATAAGACTACAGTCTGCTATCTGAAGAGCAATGTTATCAACCACTGCAATCCAGTGTGTAAACAGGTCACCATAATCACATTTACAATTTATAAGCTCTTACCAGTCCCTAAAATCAACTAATGATAGCACACATGTAGCAGTGATATATTTATGTCAGCTGTGGTTACCTTCTCCACCAGTTTCTGAGGCAGCAGGTCTTCAACAAACTGTCGCAGGTGCTCCCGAACTACAGCCTGGTGGAAGAAGGTCACCCTTCCGTTCACAAGCCCAATGATGGAGGGAACACGGTGAGCACCCAGCTGGTTGGCAAGGCGACGCTCATAGCCCAGGTCCACGATGCCAATGCCCACACCTGGTTTAACAATAACAGTAGCCTGCTATCAGACCTGGCACAGTGGAGTAAAGCACAGCCTCTCTTGCAAAATGTAAAAAATACACCCTAAAACAGAATTGGTAGAATCGTGCAATTGCAGTAATTTCAGAGGATAAACGTTCCAACAAACACAGAGAGCTGTCTTCCAAAGATGGATATCAGAATGTGCATGTGGAAGAAAATATGGCTAAAGTTCACAATGCTCCCATTTAGATTAAGAAGGGAATTAGGTGATATAAGTGAATGATATTTTAGGGGGAATTCTCACTTTTATTAAACAGCCACTGTGAAGCTCTAAAGACGAGACTCTTGAAGTCTCTAAGAGGAACCACTCCACGCTGTGGGATTTTTACTTGAGTCTTTGAAATCAGTGAGCAACTGCCTGATGACAGCGTTCATAAAAGATGCATAGATCTGTTTTTAGTGTCTTAAAGGATCCTGTGTATTCTCACCACTGTAAAAACCACAGCAATAGAAAAAAATAAACCAGAGCCTGGCTTTGAAAATTATTAGAAAAAGCAGCATTGAAACAAGTTTTCTTCTTTTGATTTGAACACTCTGCATTTGAGATGTGCTAAATATCCCACTTAAAGCTAAACTTATCAATATTTCATTTGAGCAGTGGGTCATATTACTTGTTGCAAAGACAAGGTGCTGCTCAGAATGACAAATCCAGAAAAATCACCACCTGACTCTCTTCTAAGCAGCAGCTCAGCATCTTTTAGATGTTTTTTTTTTTGGTTTTAAAGTCTGTAAGTGTAGTGTTTTAGTTCACACTCATTAACTTCTACTTCCTGTCACATCAGGCAGCTGTTTTCTGTGTAAAAAGCTCTAAAGACACAATTAGCTACTGACCGCAGACAAACTTAACAAATAATCAGTATTGTGGAGGATTTAGCATGTTAGAGTGCAGTTATGACTGTTGAAGAGTTTTGCTAGAAAATGACCAAAAAAGTAAAAAGAAAATGACCAAAAAAGTAATTAATGCTAAAACAATAAATTCAAGAAAACAGTTCAGGCATAGTAAAGTGCAAGGAGGTTTATGAATAAGCAGGAAATGTTATGAGAGCACTGAATGATCACAGGGTCGCAGTACTTTTAATTAGCAGGAATAACTTATCAACAACTCATCTCCGGTGTCAGAAAACAATTGCATAGGGTTGAATTCCTTCCTTGGCTTTACACTTTGTTCTAAGGAACTAAGAAGAACAAATAAAGCCTGATCAATAATTAAAAAAAAAAAAAAAAAAAAAAGTCTGGCTCTCTGTAAAGCATCTCTACAGTTAGTTAGGTCTCTCCTAATGACCTGCAACTGTGCAAACACCAACCTTACGTGGTGATGCTGTTAGGAAAACTAGCCTGGGAGTGTGTATGAGACTTTAAGTGAAAACAGTCTCACCCAGAGGCTCCAGTTCCTGCACCGTCTCCTTCCACACAGGCTCAATATGGATACATGCAAAGCACCACTCAGAGGTCACTTTGATCAGGTAGGGTCTCTTGTGGCTGTCTGGAAGGACATCACTGTTAAACTGTGCGTGGTGAAGCATGTACTTGCTGTCTGCAAAGTCCCTGGACCTGGAGGAGGATTGGAAGCAGAGTACAGAGTGTTTTTAGTTTACAGGCTCCAATCAGGACATGGTCTGAGACAAAACTGCCTAAACTGTAATCTTTTGTCTGTGTTGGTGTTCATACTGGGTAGAGGTAGAGATTGTCCTCAAAAACAACGTAGCAAAAAGGATAACAAGAACAGCACTGTTTCATAGAGGATCAAGTGTTTGCTTGTCCACATGTGTCAAAAAAGCAAAACATTTTCAAGGAATGCACTTATTTTTTCACATGACTGTCACTATTGCACTGCATATATTGTATGTTTTGGTTCTACTACCATGAGTGTCAGGGTCCAAAAGCAAACATAAGGAAGAGTCCATATTATACCACATACTATGGGCAACAAACAGCAAAATTCTGAGAAAAACATATTCATGACAACATTTATTTGGGATGAGATTCAGAAGAAGAGGCCTGTTTGAACATAAGCTACCTGGGGAAATGGAAAAAAGACTCATCAAAGTAGAAACTGTTGTGAAAGCTGCGGAAACCGTGATGCTGCGAGTGTCCGAAGGGCTGGTTTTCATCCATCTGCCCATAGCGGTCAAAGTTGGACCTTCGCTCCTCGTTGGACAGAATCTGTGCACGAAAGAGAATGAAAGGAAGAATGAAGAGGATTTTTATATTAATGTTAGAATCTGAGGAAGGGATCATGATAGAGAAAGTGAAACTGATCATAAGGAAGGGAAAGTTGTCAGCTCATTTTACATGAAATACAGCAGATAATCTATTGTGATGCATTTTCACTCACCTCGTAGGACTTAGAAATCTTGATGAACATGTCCTCAGCTTTCGGGTCCTTGTTCTTATCTGGGTGCCTAAAAAAAAAGCCAATGGGTGACATCATAAATCACCATTAGGTTCACGTAGGGTTTAGTAAGGTTCTCTGTGTCACATTTTTTGAATTAGACCAGCTTGTGATGGGTTAAGTGATAAACCAGCAGCAGTTCAGGGGTCAGATGTGCGCTGCTAACTGACTGGGGCTGCTCAGTAACTCACCATTCCCTGGCCAGGCTCTTGTATGCCCTTTTGATCTCTGCTTGACTGGCACTCCTGCTGACACCCAGGATTTTGTAGGGGTCATATTCAGAGGCTGATTCCGCCAAATGATTACTCAAAATGAGCAGAAAGATGGCGAGCAAAGCCGGACGTATCCGAGGATCTCTGTTGCTGCTCCGAACCGTCATCTTATGCTGCTGTCCTCGTCCAACGTTATCGTCGGTTAGCCAGCTACCGTGCTGTCCGGTAAACTAATGCTACACAGCTATCCGGTAACAGACGAATATCCCCAGCTACGAGCTTACATGGTCGGGTCTGTTAACGGCAACAATGCAAAGTTGGAGTACAGACGACATACTAGTGTTTTAATACGACGAGGCCATTATTTTTTCTAGCAAATGATGGACATTAGCAAACCATTGGTGTCACTCCAGCAGTGAAACACAGAGCTTCCGGTTGCATCTTTCAATATAAAATCCGCCAAAGCCCCCTTTTTTAAAATCCCTAAAGTACTGCAATTGTTAGAGGGATATAGTTCAAAAGAAATTTGCGGTTAATCAAAAATAATAAATGAAATTGCAATAATATGTAGACTTTTGTAAGATAACAAGTGCACAGTAGAAATATACATCATTAAAGTGCAACTATGATAGATTTGCCGACTAGTCTATTTGTGAACACTGAAAAATATAAATGCAGCATGTATGTTCTGGTTAGAAAATGATTAAATTCAGCCAAATGTGCACAGTTTTTTCGAGCTGTTCAACTGGTGACAAATTCTCAGCCGACAGAGTTAATCCGCTAACTAGTCAGGTGTGGTTTTGAAGGACAATGATCAGACAGTGTGACCAGGATACGCAGACACTGGACAGAAGAGTGTCTGCGTATCCTGGTCAGGCTGTGTGATCATGATCAGTAAAACATTTGGCTAAATCAAATCATTTTGTAACCATTGCAAAGCATTTGTAACTTTTTTTCTAAGTCAGCAAATACTTTTTGCTTCGTCAAAGCATAACTTTCCTGGGTTGTGATTTTCTTCCCAAATGCTTTCATGCTTTTATTTTGAAGTGCAAAACATTACGTTTTTTATTCACATTGACAGTCTGCAGAATACCTACTGCGCATGCTCCAGTCAGCAGCTGTCCGTTCTATTGGTTTCATTCTCTTCTTCCGTAGACTGTCCGTTGTTTCTCTTTTTTTCTTATCACACGTCAAATGTTGCACAGAAAACCCCGTTATCACAGTCCTGCTATTTAATTTTTATTTTATTTTATTACATATATACAGTGGTGTCATATTAGGTGTTGGCAAAAAAAAAAGTCCAAATTGTTACGTTGTATTAAAATTTCTTGAAATTATACATTTTAAAATGAATCAAAACACATTTCTTCGTGTTACTTTTTGCTTCTTCTTCGGTGTCATTTTAACACACTTCTTTCGGGGGGCTTCGCTTCCGTTTCCTCTTCGTCACCCAGAACTGATTCGGTTTACACTCCGAGGCTGAAAATGAAAACACTGATACCAGCTCAAGATCCACCAGCGAAACATTTCACCTGCTCATTATAAACCCGCCTCACCGAACCCGGTAGACCTGCAGGTTTCCGTCTCCTGTGTGGACCAATATGATCCAGCTGTGTGTGTCTGCACCCAGCGGAGTGAGCTTTCCAAGTGCGCAGATGGTCTTATCTCGGTAGCTAACGCTAGCACTGCAAAGCTGCTGTCTGTGGCCCCGCTGGCGATATATCTAACTGGATAGGCACTTTACAATAAGCTAAGGTAAATAACAAATCCTCTTTCATTCATAATTGCTTGCAACGTCGATGTGACACGTATGCACGGCGTACAGCTCAGCCGCTAAGCTTGGCTAGCAGGTGGTGCTACAAAATCACTGGTATTCAACTGAGCCGAGATTACTTTGCTAACTCACTCGGTAGCTCCCGTTATCCAAACAAAGCAAAACCTTCTTGCTAAAACTGGAAACTCTTCTGCACCCATTACTTTCATGGCATTTTATCTCGTCTGATAGAATATTTTTTTCGTGCTCATAAGTGTTTGTTTATGTTGTAAAAGCTAAACACAGCAGTAACAAAACCTGAAGTAAATATGCAGTTTTGTGTGTTATCAACTGCACAGTCTTATTCTAAACTGAGAAAAGCACAGTCTGTATTTGTCATTTAAAGGCCACAGTCTTTGCTTGCTCCTTTTCAGCCATCCGCTGCATGTTTTCTGGAGTGTTTAAAGTGTAATCTTGGAGGTTTTGTGATAAAACTGATATTTTAAGGTGTATTAATACCAACAATCTTTCGTGTTTTTTCACCCCAGACTCAACACCATGAATCTGTTCCGCCTGGTGTGCCGTCACAAGACAGCTCTGGTCATTGGCACTGTTTGCAGTTTCGCTGTAGTCCTCGTCTTCTTGGCCAAATGTACCTCAGAAACCCTGAAACAGGGTCACCAGGATCCTCCAGGCCTGGCCCCCCGAGCCAATGCTTTGCAGCCCCGTCCAGAGCAGCACAACCCCCCCTCCATGTCCAAAGACTTGTCTGCATTCCTAGTAGTCCTCATCACAACAGGACCCAAGTACACAGAGCGCAGGAGTATTATCCGCAGCACCTGGCTTGCCAAGCGGGACTCTGATGTTTTGGCTATGTTTGTTGTAGGAACTCAGGGTCTCTCCAGCGAGGACCTTCAGAATCTGAACACAGAACAAGGGCGGCACAAGGACTTGCTCTTACTGCCTGATTTGCGAGATTCTTATGAGAACTTAACACTCAAGCTGCTGCACATGTACTCCTGGCTGGACCAGAATGTAGAGTTCAAGTTTGTCCTCAAAGCAGATGATGACACATTTGCTCGCTTGGACCTTCTTAAAGAGGAGCTGAAGGCGAAAGAGCCCAGCCGTTTGTACTGGGGCTTTTTCTCAGGGAGAGGCCGAGTGAAAGCAGCAGGGAAGTGGCGGGAAAGTGCTTGGGAGCTCTGCGACTACTACCTGCCCTACGCACTGGGCGGTGGTTACATTCTCTCAGCTGACCTGGTGCAGTACGTGCACCTTAACGCGGGCTACTTCAAGACGTGGCAGAGTGAGGATGTGTCACTGGGCGCCTGGCTGGCACCAGTAGATGTTCGGCGGACGCATGACCCACGCTTTGACACAGAGTATAAATCGCGTGGTTGCAACAACAAATACTTGGTGACACACAAGCAGAGTTTGGAGGACATGTTGGAGAAGCACCAGACTCTGCAGCGTGACGGCAGGCTCTGCAAGGAGGAAGTCAAGCTGCGATTGTCTTATGTGTATGACTGGAGTGTGCCACCATCACAGTGTTGCCAAAGAAAAGATGGGATTCCATAATTGTTGTCTTGTTTTTATTCGTTTTTTTTCTACAAGGCTGAAGTTTGCATTCATATTATATATTCATATTATGTAAGTGAGGAATGTTGTAGGATGTATTTTCTTCTCACCAAATCTTAATTGTTAAAGCATTTTAAGTTGTGTAACTGGTACTGGACAATATAGAAAAAGCTTTAACATTATTAGAAATCACATTTACATTTTTTAAAGACATTGTTCTATTTTTGCGAACAAAAAAATGGGGCAAATTCAAAAGTTTTTCTCCAGTTAAAGCGGCAAAAGTTGCTTTATGTGCACATTTTTTCACATATTTTTGAATTTCAAAAAGTCCTAAAATGAGATTTTTGTTCAGGTTTTACGAGTTATAGTAGTGAATTGTGGGCTAGATGTTGTCTTGTGTGGTTTGCTTGGAGAAAAAGCCATGAAATTGCCTTTTTTTAGTTTTGTAAATAGAAACCCATTTTTACAAATCTGAAACAGATTTAAACAGTCTTTGGGAAGTCCAGGTAAAAAATGGAATATTCTTATTCTAGACCTGGTTTAATTTTGTATAACAACATAATTGAAGATATGGCAAGAATCCCAGCTTTTATTATGACGTCAAGTACCAATTTTACAACTTGAAGTTGTTTAGCAACAGATAAGTGACCAAGAAATATGATTCCTCAACTCCTGAATTGGAAGCCAACTTCAGTCCTGCAAAGTTTTTGACCCATAAGCTCCTTTCGCCTCGCAGTTGCTGCTCTCCTTAATCGTTGGTTTACCACTTCGGTGGCCTACTTCTCTCGTCTGTGCTTGATCTGCTGTACCTCTTGCTCAATGTTTTCCAACAGTACGCGGTATGTTTTTAGCTTATTTCAGTATTGTAGATAGTACAGGGGACCCACAGATGGGAGATTCTAACCCTGCCATGATGTCTACGTTATTTTTGTGAGAGTATTCTTTTTTTTTTTTGTATTTTATTTATTGTTAATTTATTCTGCAGCAAACACAAGACACTGGTACTAAGCATGGATAGATGTGCAGTGGATGTGGTTGCTGCTCGCGGGTGCGGTTTGTATTTATAAACATGTTGGATGAAATTGGTCTATTTCACAGAATTAACAGACAAGAAGTGTTGACTTTTTAAATGTAACCCTTTTGTTTACAGTCAGTGGTGTGCAAGGTTTCATATGTTTGGAGGTGCAAAGAATGTGTAAGAGAAATTGGTTGAATGTGTTTTATTTAGCAGGCCTTCTCATTCCTTATACTGGAGCCTATGCGAGGAGTCTGTCATGGTACTTACATTTCCAACACAACAGCCACATTTTAAAGTCGAAGTCAGTACATTTACTGTGCAGAGATATCAAGTTACTCGTGAATGTTCGTTTTGCAGCACACAACAGAATCAGAAACTTGATATACACTACCAGCTGGCACTTGGTCACTTTTTTTCGAGCGGGAAAACCTGATTTTGAATTCCCTTAATCATTATTCATTGATTGTTTTCTTGGACGTCGAGGCTCCTTAACCCAAACTCACCCTGTTACGTCAGCAGCTGTATCCCAGAACTTGTGAAATTCGTGCGACAGCGTTGATCAAAGGGCGCTATATGTTGGAATGCTAATTAATCGAGGATTGCTGCAAAAAGAGTGACATCCAAGCTCTTTTTCTGTGACTGCTGTTACATTTTTGTGAACAATGACATGACTCCTATCTCACTGTTGTCAATATCAGATTCTAATTCAATGCAACTTTAGTTTCTGTGATTGTTTTTACATACCTGGTCTGCCACCCTGGATGTTTTAATAAAAATTCTAAATGTATTCTTGTCACATCAGATCCTCTATGTTCATTCTTTGACAAGATATATCACAGCAAAATGCACACACAATGTAAAATTATCTACAAAAAGGCAGAATTACTACCAAGAGGGATTGCTTCTTGCTTCTTTAACAATACTACAAAATAGTTTGCTGTAACCATTCTATATGAATTTGGGCTATCAGGTGCATAGGATGTGTAACAGCATTGAAAAGTGTGCATCAGCGCTTGATTGTTTGACAGCAGGACAGCCTTGAACCTTCAAGCACTTAGCAGCAACATACATTTAAATCTACGCCTGTCAGTCAAACCCTCAAAGAGAAGCAGCTAGGAAGCGCTGTCAGACTGCGAGGAGCCTGCCAAACTAGCCACGAAGCAGGCGTTATGTAAATGTGTTACCTGCTGACATCGTTTTGTGATGGAAGAAAAGCCTGGACTGTTTTTAGGCAGGTAGGGAGTAGTGTTTTATGTAGGAGAGAAAAACTCAGTTTGGCATTGAATTAACGTTCATAAGTCTGAAGGCCTTTATCATGCACTTAAAAAAGAGGAACCACCCCCAACATCAGCTCTTAAAAACAATACTGATGTGCCCATATATATGTGAGAATAAGGTTTGGTTGGTGTAATAAATCCTACTCTCCATGATGGCTTTAAAGCTTCCACTCCGAAACAAGATGCAGTAAGAAATGTGACAAAATGCACTTTAAAGGTTTGGCTGAGGCTTATAGACGGTGAAGGATTTTACAAACTGCCACCCGAATTTACAGTTTTTAGACTGAGGCATTACTGTCAGAATAAGACGGCTGAATTTTGATTTTTCGCAATCTGAATATATGCAGCTTCCAGTCAAGGGTGATAATCCTCGAACTGACATCTTTTATTTGTCCCATTGCTGCGCTCGTCACTAGGAAGAATCTGGGATGTGCTTCAAGGATTGTCTCACGAAAACAAATTCTGGCACGTTCTTCAGACTTTCGCTCCTCTTCTGTTCCTCCAGTTCGTACTGCAAGACAGGAAACACCCACCTTCACAAGTTATGCCAATACATTTAAGCTTGCAGGCTGTGTGGCTTTTCTCAACTAACAAACTCACCACTTGTAGAGTCTGCAGCCTGGTACGTAGCTTCACCTCCAAGTCAGAGGGAGGGTGGAGAGCCAGCTCCCTTTGCTTGTGCTGCTCTCTCCGTTTGTGTTCCAGCACACACTGCAGCTCCGTCTTTTGTCGCGGCAGTACACCTCTGAGGATATAATAAAGTGTGGATAAAGAGGTGGATCTAAAATAAGCAATTAAAAATACCATGAAGCTTATTTACTGGAGTGCCACTTATTAATTGATGCAGCAGGTTTTTAAATGCCTCGTGACAAACTAATTTATTGTAATTTTTTTCAGCACATTGATAGACAGTGGACTGTATTTCAATAGAAAATAATTCTCTATTAAACTTGATATCTTCAGTTATCACATCGTCCTTTATGGACTGAATGATTTCTACTTCAACACTACAAATAATTTTAGATCTAAGCGTTACTTTTGCTTTCTCAGACACCAGAGTGAGAGTATTTGCCCCCTGTTGAGAGATCAGTGGTGATCTGAGGCAAGGTGTTGCACCTTTGACTCAGTCACAGTTAAACACTAAGCATATTGCTTATCCGCAGCCACAGCCCCGGTCACCTGGACTGGGAAAGCCTAAGAGGATTCTCTGACAGAGGAGGGGGAACAGCTAAAATGCTGACCTGGAGAACTACATCTACTTTCTGATTGCAGTTATAACCTGCATTTACCCCACATCGAAACTGTCATGTCGAAAATGTTGAACTTTTTGAGTCATACAGATGCTCAAAATAGGGCCACACAGAGCATATTTTCTTTGCTGACTAATGTCAGATTTGTGTGCTCGTGGAACAGCATGTACCCGCTGCATATGTGACCTGATCATAGGATAACAGGTTCAGGGCTCAGTGTTTTCTCACCGTCTGTGGCAGAATAGCAGCTCTTGATGAAGAGCTCCGTGCTGGTGAGAAGCCAGGATGGGATTTGGAAGCTTTCTAGGTTTGATGAGGTCATCATCCTCCTGTTGTTGACTTTCAATCACCTGGTGAGGCGGCAGCATCCAGGACTGATGTCCGTCTGATACACATGAATACAAGCCAGAGAGTTGGATCCAGTGTGAAGAGCAACAGAGCTTCTGTTTGCAGCAAGAAGGTTATAAATTAAAATGAAACTAAATGTTAAAATGCTTTTGTTTTGTGGTGTCTCACAACTTCTTACAAAAATCGTGAAAATTGTGAATTTATTTCTTTGATTTCACTGAAGCAACATGAACCTGTCCTTGGTTTTTCTCTGATGTTGTCTTACCTCTTTTGCTCCAAAGGATCGTTTTTTGTGGCGCCTAAATGAAGACAAGACGTAAGCGAGTCACTTTCTTTTGCATAATAAGCAAAATAAAGGTTAAAGCATGCAAATCTACACAGACAATGTCGCCATCCATCAGCTTGCTGAAACAATCAAATGAAGCACTTCATAAGTAAATATTAAATGGGAGTTATCATACAAAATGCTCACAAATAGACAGCAAAGTATTTAGTGCATTCTTCAGACTGACATAGCATCCTGTTCTCCTGTTTGAATTTGTTGTACATCCTGTTAAACAATACATCTACTGATAAATATTATTGTCTATGAATGTATTGCTGGTATACATATTCAGCATGTTCTGTGGTTAAACAGACAGTTTGTTGATTGAATTTTTCTTCACCTCATCCATCTCATGGAAACTCACAAAGCAAAATAAGTGGATTATGTGACACTTATAAAGGCCCGCAAACAAAAGCTCACATTACTTCTTGTTGCTTCAAATAAATGAATAAAATAAAATTACCAGGATTATGAAACCCTAAATGATCAGCTCTGTGGTTTGAAGCAGCCACAAACTGAAGCAGTGAATCTCAGTGAACGTGTCACAAGCACAGAAAACTTCTGTTAAAGTAAGAGCTGAAAACAGTTGGGGTTTTTTTGGGGTTTTTTTTTAGCATTTAAAAAAAATGGATTACAACCATTTGCACAATTATTATGACCTTGAACATTAGATATTTTTTCAATGTGCATCCTCTATGCTGAGTCCAGAACAGACATTACTTTATCAGTTGTCCAAACAGAAAACAGAGACAATTCAAATCTGGTCATTTAGACGATATTCTTTCCTCTCTGTAAATAATTCAAGAAATCCTTCTTTTTTGTGCATTCACTATTACTTATCATCTGCCTTTAATAGCATAAAAGTGATTAAAAAACAGCCTTACCTGTGTGCTCTGGTAAAGACGCATTGCTGAAAAAAGAGAGGCTGAAGATCGAGTGTTAAAGTCTGTTTCCTCGAGACGCCGGTGCAGAGGAGGAAGAGGCTCAGTGTTGCCGTCAGGCTGCACAGCGAGCTGCAGTGACAGTGAGGCTGATCAGAGCAGGTGTGCCACACCGTCCTGATCAGATCTCATTAACTGTCTTACGACCCTTTGTTCCACCCCTTGTTCCCTCCGGGAGAGAAACTCCTGTTGTCTCAGAGCAGCAGCAGCAGCATATGCACAGATTAGGCTAATGTAATATAACAATTAGGATCATGCAACCTGATAACAAAACAAATGTGGCTTTTGTGTCTCTGCTTTTTAAATCCTTTTGTTATCACATGCACACTAAGTTTATTCTACTGTTAAAATCAATCTATCTATAATTCATTTTTGTCTTTGTTACTGAGTAAAACAGCTCTGTCTGACTGCCTGCAGCTTATCTATCATTTAGGAAAAACAAAAACTCACTGAAACTGAAGCATCACTTTGTCATGGACCTGAAACAAAATCAGGTAAACGTAGCAAAGGTAAACACTGACACCAACAAATAAGAGTTATAAAAAGACTCTAAAAAGACAGTTGGTTCCTTGATATAGTTGTAAATACAAATGTAGGATCACAGATGAACAAGGTGTAAATGTTGGATATTAATGTGATGCCAAATGCTGTATGTCAAGTGGTGACAACATTGATTGTGAACCATCAATGTGATATGTAAGATGTGAAAAAACATCAAAGTACTTAAAAAGAGCAGAATTTGTTGTGCATATGCTTTACACAACTGAATGTGACAGATTTTGTACAGACGACTATTGTACATGTAGATATATATTTATGGAAACAGGCGTTTTGTCAGCATGACCATAATGCAGATACAGCTAAAGTTGAAACATTACCACGACTTCATTGATTGATTCCTCATCAGCAATAAATAAAGTAAAGCCATTCCGCTAAACCAGATTGAACTCATCTTAGTGTGAATCTAATTTTATTGTAATATTTTATCATACCACAAATTAACAGGTTTAACTTCCCATGCCCTGCCAATAACTCTCAATTAGATTTTATCATGCGTTTATTTAGTCAAATATAGTCAAGTAAATTTCACTTTATTTTTTGTCTTTTGTTTTTATATTTTTTATTTCCTTACTTAGTTACATTTGACGTTCTGTCTTTTGCTGTGTGATGTTGTTTTACATGTAAATGTTCAATTTTCAAAACTTGGACATAAAAAGTACATACACACATATATAAAATAGTACAAACTCGAAAGGCTATTGCATTATAGGCTAGTTTGAAGTAAAGCAACAAAAAATGGCTTGTCTTGAAGGCAGTACGTACCATGATGACCCTAATACTACTTTACCTGATGAAACTTTTCAGGTTGTTTTTGGACTGAAGGCAATGTGGAGTGGCAAGTAAATGATTACATGACGCTCCTCTGGAGACACGTTGGGGTGGCTCAGCTGTATAGTGGCGTCAGCTCATGTTAGTGTGGGTGGAAGCTCACTTTAATCCTCATCCTTCCCTCTGCTACTACATAAGGTGTGTCCAGTGTTGCATTCAGAGCTGCAGCAGAGCCAGCATTTTTCAGCAGCCTGTTAATTCTTTGCCTTGGTGTTCCATTGACAGATGCTGCCTCTGTTTACTCTGTTGCAGAGAGTAGTGTGCTG